TATATACACACTTAAAAAATTTGTATATATATATAGAAAAAAAATGATTCCTTTTTCTCCTTTTCTGTTATGTGACACCTTTTCATTCTTTTTTATTGCTTATGAGACACATAAGAAAGAGGGCTTTAGTGGTGAGAGGGGAGAGGTATGTAGTAGGATGGACATTCATGACAGAAGCAAGCATTGGGTTTGTCAAACTGGACCAGCAAATTACAAGAGGAACGATCATGGGTGGGTGGTTATACATTATCATAGGATCATAATTCGAGCTCACAGTTCTGTAGTTTCTTCCGTCATTACTCAGATCAGGAATCGTATGGCTTTACTAATACATACCCTCTATGTCTGAACGAAAAAAAAGTGAGATTTTGTGGATATAGGTACTAAATACCCTCATTCAACCTGTCCTAATATCCATAGGTTTTGTAAGGGCCAATTCGGCAACATATACAGTGTATTTAACATTAACGGTCCCCTTTTTTTTTGGCCCCCATAGCTTCCCCCAAGTAGTGAAGTGCACATCACCATCAACTGTGCTCACATCTGCACTCATGTTTGCCACCCTTTTCTTGTTTGGATTGTCTGCAAAAAGTGGTTGCCACTTCAATTGTCCATGATGGACACCCAAAAAAAGGGGAGTTTAGAATGCTGTTATGAACTCTCAAACAGGTCAGCTCTTCTTGATGACTGCTCACAACCATGGAATTGATGGGGGGAGGGGGTGGCTCTTGGACTGGCCATTGCTCGCTTCAATGACTGTTTTGACCAGCAGCAGCAATGAACGACGTGTCTGTTCCTACATGTGATAGGTATGGCGTACACTTATGATCGAACACAAAGATGGTCGGGTTGCCGGTCTCTGGGACGTGTTCTTATAGTCAAAGCGCTTGAATGGGTCGATGGGATCCCATTTGGGGGGGACGATCCTGACTGATGGAGGATGTCCCAGCTTGCAGCCGGGGCTAAATATATGGACATGCCGCTGCCGACAATGCATTTTGGCCGTCCTATAGAATGCAAAGTCGCACATCGGATCCGCCGGGCTCTTACATTTGTTGAAGCAGAGCCCCACAGGTTGGCGATGGTGGGTTGACTCCAACCAGAATTCAAACATATTCTCTGAGAGTGATGAGTCTGACGAAATGACGTCAATGATGATGATGCTGATGAGCTGAAAATGATGCTCGGCTAAGTTTTCATCACACGTTTTCTTCGTTCCTTCTTTTCAAGCAAGTCGATCTTCACCCTTGGCCGGCCATCGGCTGATCTTGATCGATGGTCGAATTCGGGCTCGTGAAAACAAAAACCGACGGATTTCGTCAAACTCCCAACTCTAATCTCGTCCCACCACAGCAAACGATTACAATACCACCGTCGAGCTGAAAACAGATGTGGATATTTTCAGCCAGCATGAGAAGGAGGGGGAGAAGGAAAGCTTTATAAACGAGCACACACACTTCTTCTTCGTCATCACACAACAAACACCGAAGAGTGCCAACACATTCTCAGAACAGAACACCCGAATCATTGAACTGACATCGTCGACAGAAAAAAAGAAACGAAAAAAAGCGAGATGAACTCGAGTCACGAAGAGTTAACGAGCGGGAAGCTCTTCGATGTGACCGACCTAGTGGTGGTGATCACCGGCGGAGGCACGGGGATCGGGCAGATGATGGCCCGAGCAATGATGGCCAACGGGGCCCGGAAGGTGTACATCGTCGGCCGACGCTTGGATGTCCTTCAAACCACCGCCAACGAATTCTCCTCCTCCTCCTCTGGGAAAGGCACCATCGTCCCTATCCAGGCCGATCTGTCCAAGAAATCCGAGGTCGATGGGCTCAGAAAGAAACTCGAGGCCGAGGAGAAATTTATCGACCTTCTCGTCAGTGTTTATCTTTGTCAATCATATTCGGCCCCCCCTCTCTCTCTCTCTCTCTCTCTCTCTCTCTCTCTTTCCAAAGAAGAAAAACACTCCTTTTTTTTGGTGAAGATCCAAAAAGACAGGGTGAATTAATGATATTGATTGAATAAGTGTATGTATGTAACTAGATCAACAATTCGGCGATAGGAGGACCCGAGTTCGACGGGAATGTTCAGACGGTCGAAGAGATCTCGAGCTCGATGTGGTCAGCGGACGAAGGGGCAGCCCGAGCGTTACTGGAGACCAACATCCTCGGCTACTTCTACACCTCCGCCGGGCTCTTGAACTTGCTCGGGAAATCCGCAAACCACCCCCAGATCATCAACATCTCGAGCAATGCTTCCTTCGGCAGACAGGCCATGGTCGGCATCCTCTACTCCTGCTCCAAGGCCGCTATCACTCATCTTACTAAGATCTTGGCCACCCATCTCGCTCACACTCATGTCCGTGTTAACGCAATCGCTCCGGGCCTCTGTTCGTCCCCCTTCTTTCTCTCTCTCTTGCTCTTCTAAATTCATGTGGAATGTTGATAATCTCTTCTTTCGAACTCCAATTATCAGTCCCTTCTGAGTTGACCGCCGGCGACTCGGATTCCAAAAACAGATCCGAGTTGAAAGATACGATGGGCTTGAAGATCCCTGAAGGAAGAGCTGGGATTGACAAAGAAATTGCTTGCACGGTCTTATACTTAGCCGTAAGTCATCCGAGCTTTCAGGGATGAGAAAGTTATGACAGTTTCTCATATCGACATTTTGGGTGGTTATTTAGAGTAAAAATCAACAGTATACGTCCGGCTTCTGTCATCCTTGCTGACGGCGGAGTCTTGAATCTCATGGCCAGTAGCTACTAAAATTTCATTCTTCTTCAATAGGCAAAAGGCTAGGG